GTTGCTTTGGCCACTGATAGCTATATGTGCACCTTGGCAAATGGCATAAGCCTTGGGATAAGAGCTTAATACCGGATCACCGTAGTTTAGAAGCTCATGAACACTGAAACTCGTTAGGACTAATTGATAGTTACATGAAATATTCAATTAAAAATTTTCCTAATTTTAATTACATTTCTTTTGAGATCTATTCAAATATTTGTGTTATTATATTATTTTAAGCATCAGGTATGCCACAGGTGAAAGATTAATTTAATAAAATTAAAATAATAATAATAAATACAGTAAATAAACATTTATTTCTTCTATTAACAAGGCTAGCTAGTTTAATTAATTATTATTAATAATTTAATAAACTTTTACAATTTAAATTAAGGTCCTTTATAATGCCACTCGATAATTTAAATTGTGCTTTTAATTCTATTTTCTAAATTTACAATTTTATTTTTTTTCCAGAATTGAAAAAGATTCGAAAAAATGTCGAGTAACAGTAGAAGAAATAGTGAGAACGTGCGGGTTGAAAGTGAAGTGAAGGAGACGAAAAGATTTCCTTATGTATAAAGTGGTGGGGAGGCGTTGGTTCTACGGTCGGTGCGCACGCGCGAACTCAGGAGGGGCGGAGAGGCCCGCACCGTGATTGGTCGACCGCTCTCATATAAGACCCGGCGTCGGCTCAGCGGGAGCGTCAGTTCCACTCGGGCAGTCGTAGGCGCAACATCTTCTCAAAGGTATTTATTTAAACTTTATTTAATTTATAAATTTACCAGCATTCCCAAAACGTTCTTTGTTTCATATTTTTTCTAAAGTAACATAATCGGTAATTGGAAATTAAAAACATTTCAATAAATTAAAATTAATTAAATTAATTACTAATTATATTATTTATATTATAAATTAAAAAAGTTAATTTATAATAATTTTATTATAAAATTATATTATAATTTAACTAATTTCGAAAAGCAGAATTATTTTTCGAAATTAATTAAACTGTTTTATTGAACACAGTTGACAAAAAAATTACGTTATCCGACGTGAGCCATTAGAAAAATCCAAAAGCATTTTAGAGGAGAAGCAATTGTGAACTTAATATTGGAGAGTTTTTCTCTAACATGGGCTTTAAATTTAATGTGCATGTGCTACAGGATTTAATATGTTGGCACATTAACTTTAATATCCTCACATAGGAAAACTTCCATTACGCACACTTAGGAAATAATTGCTATTTCAAATTTCATGTTAAATAACGAAAAGTTTGCATTTCGTCATTTTTGTTTATTGAATATTGTTATTTATTTTTTTTCATAATTATATAAAACTCGTTTTGTGTTGGGGAAAATTTTTTTTCTTTTTTAGTTTAAAATAATTTTGATTACTAATAATAACAATTATTAAATAAACTTGAAACAATGTTAATTACTTCAAAATTATTTCAATTACAAAAATAATTTTTTTGGATTGGCAAATATTTTTTTAATTTTAATAACTTTGAATTAATTTTAATTACTTAGATATAATTTTAATTACTTTGAAATAATTTTAATTACTTTAAAATAATTTTAATTACTTTAAAATAATTTATCTTCTTTCTTTCGGTGAAAGAATTTTTATCTGAACTAGCAACTATTTTTTCTTTATCTCGAGTCTTTAAATTCTCGTTAAATGCAATTGATCGGTTTTCTTCAATTTAAAGAGGAGTGGGGGGAGTAGTGGGAGAAATCAATGCTTTTTGAATGGGGCTTTAAAACTGCCTTTATTTCCCCGACACCTTCTCTAATTGCTCCTCTTATTTACGAGGAATAATTGCACTTTACTAACACAAATGTTCCCCCATATAGTACGCATGAGTAATTCCTCTTTCATATTTGCTTGTAATTACCTCGAGGGTGCGTCAGAAACACTCGGCTCACTTCAGCTTATCACGAAGACTCTGAACCGTGATTATCAAATCCTGTGTACATTTAATTTGTCGAGTACAAGATATTTCCGGTTGAAAATCATTTTTTTTTGTTATTTAAATAATGTTTGTATGTATTTTATAGTCTATTCTCTCTCTTTCTTCTTTCTCTATTTTCTCTCTCTCTCTCTTCCTCTCTATTCTCTCTGTTTTGAATGTTTTCAATAGTGATTTTAATTTTAATTTCAATCACCACTTGTGAGAGAAGTTTCTCCCAGCGCAATAAGGCGGGAAAAACTTCTCTCACAAGTGGTGACTGAAATTGAATTTAAATTCACAATTTCGAGTAGTTTACTATTTTAAAAATTGACCCCTACCTTGATTATTGCATTTCAACTGCTACAAAAAACTTCTCTCACAAGTGGTGACTGAAATTGAATTTAAATTCACAATTTCAAGTTGTATACTATTTTAAAAATTGACCCATACATTTTTTGTTGCATTTCAACTGCTAGGAAAGAACTTCTCTCACTAGTGGTGACTGAAATTTAAATTTAATTCACAATTTCAAGTTGTTTACTATTTTAAAAATTGACCCTAAATTGTTTATTGCATTTTAACATTAAAAAAATGCTTGCTAGTAAAGAAAAATGTGTTTTTTAACGAGAACGTCAAATTAAAAAATTTCACTAATAATTTACGGCAAATTCTATCTCCAATATTGATTTTTTCATTTTACGAAATTTGTTTGCCTAACTCGATATGACGACAAAAATTTCAATACAACATTGAATATTTGTTTCACCGTCGAAATCAATTTTAGAATGAAAAAAAATTGTTAAATCAGTTTTTTGCGGTTCGTCTCGTTTTTTTTTCGTATTGTTAACTGCAGATGAGAAAATATAAATATTGACGTGAAAATTCAGCAATTAAGCAGTCTAGTGCACTTGGCAGGGTAGTGAGTGAATCGCGTGATGTTTGGTGTATGGTGCCAATTATTATTCTCTTCATTTTACCGAAGCTAGTTCCGTGCTATATATATAAATATATATATATTTCGTCCGATAACGAAATTGCTTTGTTTCCTGATGCATTATTTCTCTTGTTTTCTATATATATATATATCTAATCCTCTGGCTCTTCTCGTTTCACCTGGTAACCGACTCGGAAAAGCTTTTTCGTTAGTAAATTTTACGTTGAGAATAAACATTACTTTCAAGGGGTTTTTCACGTAGGAACGAAAGAAAACTTGTTTTTCCCCTTTTTTATTGGCCATTTGTCACGGAAAAATCCTGCCATTGCCGTCCTGTACATATCCAAATGGATTGCTTTCAAAAAAGAGTTTATTTCATATTTTTTATTTCGACAATTACTCTGCGAAGAATTTTAAGAAAAAATTCTATTCTGTTTTTGAGAAAAAAAAATTAATAAAAAGAAGAAAGAGAGGGAGAGAATATTTTTTGTTTCTCCTTTTGAAAATGAAAACAATTTTTTTACACGTGGAGGCGATTAAGGGATTATGGACTCATTTTTTGGTATGTTTTGCACGTGTCAATATCTCATATATAGTTATGAAAATGGGGAGGAATTCCTTAATATATATTGAGAAATCTGGAAGGTCAATAAAATATAAATACATCCATAAAAAATGAGAAGAAGTTACAAAGTTATGCCACGTTCAAGGAAACTTTAGCATTGATGTCCTTGTTCCCGTTTGCACGATGTCATTTTCTGATCCCATCGATCATTTGACGAGACGCTCTAAACGCTATAAAAATATTTTCCCCTCTCTTTTCATCCTATCTGAATAAGAAAACAATTTTTTTTCCCGCAAGATATTTGTCAAGTAAATTAAGAAGCTCTGTGAGTTTTGTGCGAATTTTTAATTGAAGATAAATTGATTTTATGAGGTTCCATTTAAATTTTTTTTACTACGATAGTTTCAATATTAATTTGAGAAAAAAATGAACTTTTAGAGTTAATTTATCTTTAGTTTTATTCTTAAAAAAATACTGCGAAAATAGTGAGAAAAATATGGAAAAGTCATCAAAAGCGCCAATGTCGACTTCTCTCACAAGTGGTGATTAAAGTCGATCTCTCTCACAAGCGGTGATTAATTTTGTCAAAAAAGCGATTCTTTTGGTTCTTTTAACAATAGAAAATTAATTTGATTTTTTAAATTAAATAATATTGAAATTAGTGTCAATTTTACTTTGATTTTGTTTCTAGAAACTTTAAAAAATAGTTGCCGTCGATCTCTCTCACAAGTGGTGATTAAAATCGTTCGAAAATCTGATTATTTTAGTCCTTTTAGTAATAGAAACTTAATTTGTCTTTTTAAATGAAACAATATTGAAATTAGTATTAATTTTACTTTAATTTTGGTACTAAAAACACTAAAAAATAGCTGCAGTCGATCTCTCTCACAAGTGGTGATTAATTTTGTCGAAAAAGGCGATTTCTTCGTTTCAACTAAGAATATAAATTTATTCTTGTTTCTAAAATTAAAGAAAGCTCAGTAAAAAAAAATTTATTTTGCATCCTATCAATAGTGTTGGATCTAAATTAAATGTAAATTTAACAAAAACCCATATAAAAGGGTGCAAAAAAGGAAGAAGTTAAAATTGAAAGGGAGAATAAATTGGTCCTTAAATCGATATCTATCGAGAATGTCGAATGCACTTTCTGAAGCTGATATCTGTCCACCGTAACAAATCACTATGCAAATTGCCCAGCAGCAGACTATTCCCCAAAGAGATTTGAAATTCTGTGGGGTAGTAGATGTGATCAGCATACACTGTGTGTCTCCTCCTCCTCCGTTTACTCCTTTTTTTTCCTTTTTACCATTTCATATTACAATTTTTTTTTTCAAGGAGAAAATTTAGTGGCAAATCCTTTAGTAGGGGAAAATTTGTTGCAACGTTTACGAAAAGAATTTCAAATGAGAAGAGTGTCTATTGGGGGTATTCTATTTTTTTTTCGTCGAAGAGTAAAATAAAATCTCTTTCTAGATTCACGTCGTGTCTCGATGAAACACGAAGTGGAAAAACTTTCATTGGAGAGAAGAATACTTTTTTGAAGAGAAGAAGAATGATAGGGTACTTACCGGTTGGTGGAACAAATGCGAATAGAACTTTCCAGAAGATAGTGAGTGAGTGCATGAGGTAGTCAGCGGTTGATGGTGTCGAAGAACCTTCACCACCTTCGCCGTTGTCATCGCCTCCACTCACAGTCAATGCTTCCGTAAATTGCTCTCTCCACGAACTCGTTCCTTAAAGATAAAAAAATAATTATATTATCTGTTAATTTTAATTTTTTTTATTTGAAAATGTAAACTTCGATGTTGGTTTACAATTTTTCCGCCTTGTGGCGCTGATAAAAATTTCTCTCACAAGTGGTGATTAGAATTAAATCAAAGAATGGAAAGTTTCCCTCGATTCCACTTTTAGAAATTGACCCTTCGTTTTCTTTTTCTTTCCCAATAATTCTTAAGACCGAGAGTTTAAATTTACATTCGTTATTCTGTTTTTTTGTAAGTCATTAGTTCGCATTTTTGCCACTGCGGAGCGCGAGAGCCAACTTCTCTCACAAGTGGTGATTGAAATTACACTCAATTGTCGTTAGTTCGCATTTTTACCGCCATGGAGTGGGAGAGTCAACTTCTCTCACAAGTGGTGATTAGAATGGGACCAAAGAATGGAAAGTTTTCTTTGATTCCAGTTTTAGAAATTGACCCTTTGTTTTCTTTTTCATTCCCAATAATTCTTAAGACCGAGAGTTTGAATCTACACTCGTTATTCTGTCTTTTTGTAAGTCATTAGTTCCTATTTTTGCCACCGTGGAGTGCGAGAGTAAACTTCTCTCACAAGTGGTGATCAAAATTGCTTTAAAATGAAAAATTCGAGGCCAATTTTCATCTGAAAAATAGGTCAAATCTTCTCTTATTACTACTAAAGTTAATATTTTTATTTTTTTACAAAGAAATTATTTTTATTATTTCCCCTGTAGTTACTTTTACTTTTAGGTCATTTTTCCTTTTATTTATTTTGAGCGTCCTCGAGAGTAAAATACTTATTTTTTATGATATTTCAAAAAAAAACTATTTCTCTGGAAAATAAAAGTTGCAATTTCTCGTTTCTTGGAGTGTGTGTGGACGTGACAATTTACGATATTGTCTTTGATATTACAAGTGATATTTGTGATATTGCTTGTATCGGAGGTAGTTTTTGAAAAAATTGTCTCTCTCTCTCTTTTTTAGCACCAATACCTCTTTTACTGAAGAGAAATATAAATTAGTTACAGATACCTTTTTTCTACGTGCTGTTTTAAATATTATATTAGTCTCAAGGGGAAATGATATTCCAAACTGTAAGGACGATATCTTTCATCAGAATTACTTTTTTTGCACTTCTATCTCCTCTTTTTTTTGCCTAGAAACTCGGGAAGATTATCGATCACACCTTTTTGTAATTTATCCCCTTCGTTCTAGATTAAGAAGGATGCGAGGTTCGTTCTTATTTTATACGGGGAAATTCTCTTAAATATTGTTCAGAACGGTAGTTAATAATTTTTTTTGCCTTTATTACTTTCGAAAGAAAATTGCAACATTAAGGAGAATTGTGTTTTGTAAATAAATTAATGAGAATTTTCCAGTACAAATTTAATAAAATAAATAAGTAAATAAATAAGAAAGTAAATGAGAAAATAAAAAAATACACTAACAAATAGAAAAAAATAATAAAACAAAAACAAATAAGTGAATAAAACACGATTTTAGAATTTTTTTTACTTTTTCTATCAATTTTCCATTAGATTTTTTTAATATTTCGTCAATTTTCTTGTGACATTGTTTTATTCAGTAGAAAATCTAAGTGCCTCTACTATTTTTTTTTAAATTTTCCCAAAAAAATTTTTCATTTTTCGAATAGAATTCTACATTACCGGCTGCGAATGGATTTTATTAAAGTTACATTTTTTCTTTTTCGAAATATTTTTAGAAAAATGTTTGTTTAATGCAAGAAGAGAAGATAAATACTAAAACGAAACAAATAAGTCGATAAAAAAATGATTTTAGAATTTTTCTTCCTTTTTCATCAATTTTCTGTAAGATTTTTAATTATTTTGTCTATTTTCTTGTGAAACTGTTTTATTCAGTGCTAAAGCTAAGTGCCTCTACTATTTTTTCAAAATACACCTCAAAAAAATTTTCTTTTTTGAATAGAATTCTACATTACCGACAGGGATTAAATTTTATCAGTTGCATTGAAATTTTCTTTCTTGAAATATGTTTTGATAATAATTTTTCTTGAACGTAAGAAAAGAAGATAAATACTAAAACAAAAAAAAAATCAATAAAAATCCGAATTTAGAATTTTTTTTACTTTTTCAATCAATTTTCTGTTAGATTTTTGATCATTTCGTCAATTTTTTTGTGAAATTGTTTTATTCAGTGGTAATGCTAAGTGCCTCTACTATTTCTTTCAAAATTTACCCCAAAAATATCTTTTTTGAATAGAATTCTACATTACCGACAGTGAATAAATTTTTATCTCTGAAATTGAAATTTTTCTCTCTTGAAATATTTTTTCCAGAATAATTTTTCTAGAATGTGGAAAAAGATGATTTTTGAGTCATATAGGCGAGGTGTAAAATTTTCTTTTACAGTCACTAAAGATCAATTGAGAAGTTGCACAATTCCCTGAGGATAAAAATTTTTTTTTTTTGTGGTTGAATATCAAATGGGAGAAGGTGGCCTCTTCTCACACTAGAAAACAACAAAAGAGGTTCATGAAATGCAAAAGGGTTGACTAACAATAGTCTTCCATGTGTAACAGACTCCATGGAACTTTCTCCTCTCTATCTCTCCATCTCTCTCATTCTGTCTAAACCCATCCGTGGTAAATGTCTTGAGCATTTCAAGCAGCCTCAATTCTCTAGTGCCCTAATCCTAGCGTTAAATTTGAACAAAGCTTTTTGCAGTAAAAATACCCCGAAAATCTGGAGCGGAATATCAATTGGACTACTTTGAAAATTAGTTTAGAAAAAAAATGGTTTTTTCAAGACAACATTTTTCAGAAATTAAAATATTTAAAATTGAAAAAATATAGAAGTTTTAAACAAAGTTTTTCTTTTATTTTATTTAAATATTTATTTATATTTATTTATTATTAATTAGGAGTCTTATAATTAAATAAAAAATTTAAATAAGATTCAATAAAGTACTCTGAAAACCGTAAGGGTCATTTTCGAGAAACTGTGTAGCGAAAATGACCCGTACTGTTTACAGAGTTAGGCCCTTTTGGAATTTTTTTTATTAATTAAATACATGAGGGAATTTTTGTATATTATAATAAATATTCGAGTATTCACCTAATATAATTGACGCATTTGCCCTTTGGACGAGTTTGTCGACTGTATTTTTAAATTCCTTGGATTCCTTAATTCGAACTTGTGCTCGATATATATCACCCAATTGCGGTCTCCCTCTTAACGCCATCTTTTCTTCTTCCGTACGCTCTTCCGGTGGCTTCATTTCCGCAGCTGCAGCCAATCCTGCCTCGGCTGGAAAATAAAAAATCACAATTTTCATTAAGAAGTTAATTAGCAGGAAAAAGTCGGTTTTCATTCTTATTAAAAACAATTTTTTGCACTATTTTATTTTTACAAAAAATATGCAGTTTACATTCGCTTGTATTTACAAATATACAGTATTTATACTATTTTATTTACAAAAATACGATTTTATTTACAAGAACAAAAACTTTTTACTATTTTATTCAAGAAAAAGGGGATTATTCGAATTTTAAAGTGAGTAATTTTTCTTCTAATTTAATCGAAATTTAATGATTGCAATAATAGAAAATTATTCTATGAAAATAAATGGAAGAATTGTGAAATTAGTTCCGTTTTCTGTCACTACGAGGCGCTGGTGTCTAATGTCTCTCGCAAGCGGTGAATATTTGCCGTTATTTTATTAAAAGCTGTTATAAAATTTACTAACAGTAGTGAATAAATAATTGTTCTTTGAAAATTCGAAGCATAAACAAATAAAATAATTAAATAAACCAAATAAAATACATAAAAGAAAAATAGAATACATAAACAAATAAATAAACTAAATAAAATACATAAACAAATAAAGGCACTAATTAGAATACAAAACTAAATAAAGAAACTAAATATAATAAATAAATAAACCAAATAAAATACATAAACAATTGAATAAACTAAATAAAATTAATTAAATATATAAATAGACTAAAAAAATACATAAATAAATAAAAAAATGGAATAAAATACAAAAATAAGTAATTAAACTAAAAAAAACAAAAATATCTAAATCCAAAATGTGAGAGAAATCGAATGGCAAATATAAAACTTAGTTCCAGAGACAATGCATTCACCGCTTGTGAGAGAAGTGCCAACAGCAGCGCCACGAGGTGGTGAATAATGAAACTAATTGTCTCCTTTAATTGAAAATTTCCATTAATGAAAATCGTTCTCAAATTGAATCACAAATCTAAAAACTAAAAAGAAAATAATTCTAGTTTGGAAAATATGGGGCAATTTATATAAACAAATTTGCAAATGCGATTATATACATATATATCTACTTTAAGGTGTCAATAACTGGTGCTTGCGATATGTTTTATCTCCATTTTCGCGATTCATAATTTATATGACCTGACAAACGTTTTCAACGAGCCGCATATATAAGGGATGGTGAGGATAGAAAGAGAGAAAAAAAGAGAGTGAAAAAGAGAGGGCAAGGGAAATGTATGCAGTAACTATCGATTATTTTTTCATGAATTATACTCGCGGAAAGGTCGTTACGTGCAGGCGCGCCGTCTGACTGTACACTGACTTACATCACTTAAAGGATGTCCAGACTCGTAACCCTTTTACTTTATACACGACGATATATGAGAACCCAATGAATTAGCTTTATATTAATTTTTTATAAAGACACAAATCTAGGTAACTTTATATTTTACTGTGTGCACACTATTATCTATATAATCATTAACAATTTATTGGCGAGTGATTCTGCATTTTTTTTAAATGCATTTTAATTTTAATTATTTATTATTTTCATTCTTGAAAGAAAATAAAAATAATTCAGTAATAATTTTTTACAATTTTATTTTATTTTTTAAAATTCAATTATTTTCAAAAAATCTAATTAAATTCTTTGCAAAACTCAATTATTTTCATAAAAAAAACAATATTCATCACAAGAATTCAATTATTTTCAGGAATTTTAATAAAATTTTTTTTCAAAATTCAATTATTTTCAAGAATTTTAATAAAAAATTTGTTTGCAAAATTCAATTATTTTCTAAAATTTTAATAAAATTAAATTATTTCTTAAAATTTTAATAAAATTTTTATCAACATTTCAATTATTTTCAATAATTTTTCTAAATTCAATTATTTTCAGGGATTTTAATAAAATTCTTTGCAAAATTCAATTATTTTCTAAAATTTTAATAAAATTCTTATCAACATTTCAATTATTTTCAAAAATTTTTTTAAATTCAATTATTTTCTTAAATTAAATAATAATATTCATCAAAAGAATTAAATTATTTCCTAACATTTTAATAAAATTCTTAGCAAAATTTCAATTATTTTCAATAATTTTTTTAAATTCAATTATTTTCAGGAATTCTATTAAAATTCTTTGCAAAATTCATTTATTTTCATAAAAAACTATGTTCTTCACAAGAATTCAATTATTTCCAGGAATTTTTATAAAATTCTTTGCAAAATTCAATTATTTTTCAAAATTTTAATAAAATTCAATTATTTTCTACAATTTGAATAAAATTCTTTGCATAATTTTAATTATTTTCAATAATTTTTGCAAAATTAAATTATTTTCAAGAATTTTAATAAAAATGTTTTGCAAAATTCAATTATTTTCTAAAATTTTAATAAAATTAAATTATTTTCAATAATTTTTTGAAATTCAATTATTTTTAATAATTTTTATAAATTCAATTATTTTCAATAATTCTATTAAAATTATTTGCAAAATTCAATTATTTTCCTAAATTTTAATAAAATTCTTTGCAAAATTTGAATTATTTCCTACAATTTTAATGAAATTCTTTGCAAAATTTCAATTATTTTCAATAATTTTTGCAAAATTAAATTATTTTCAAGAATTTTAATAAAATTTTTTTGCAAAATTAAATTATTTTTCTAAACTTTTGAATAAAATTAAATTATTTTTAAGAATTCTATTAAAATTCTTTGCAAAATTCAATTATTTTCTAAAATTTTAGTAAAATTCAATTATTTCCTACAATTTTAATCAAATTCTTAGCAAAATTAATAGAACAAACAAAAAATAGTAAAACAAAGAAAAAATCAATTAAAAAAATAAATTAAAAATTAACAAAAATAATAAAATAAATAAACAAAAAATAACTATAAACAAAATAATAAAAAAAAATTAATGTAATAACAAAAGGAAAAGTTAATGAATGAAACAAAACTTGGAAAAAATAGCAAAATAAATATAAAAAACTATAAATAGAAAAAATAACATAATAAATAAAAAAGAACAACAAATATAAAAAACTAAAAAAAGAAATAAAAAAACTACAAATATTAAAAATAACAAATTAAAGAAATAAAAGAAATTGTCAATTCAATAATAATAAATAAAAGAAACTATAAATAAAATAGTAAAAGAAATAAAAGAAACTGCAAATAAAATAGTAAAATAAACAAATAAAAAAAACTAAATAAAATAGTAAAGTTAATAATTAAAAGAAAATAATCATATATATTTATAAAAAATAGAAAACTGTGAGGAAAAATACAAAAGATAAAAATTGTCGACGACATAAAAATTACAGAGTACTACTTGGAATAATGAAAGAATTTTTTCTTTTCTAATCAATTTTTTTATAATGTAAAATAAAGTGATCTAGTAGACTTTTGCTATATGGTGTGTGATCAATATCTTTATGGATGAAATGAGCGCTTCATGAAAATTAATGCTTATCATGTTAACGGCAACATGAAAGTGCCAGACAATAGATTAGTGCCTCAGTGTGAGTGCTCGCTTCCTGTAACCAATATTCCTCTTTAAAATCATAAAATATTCTTCTTGACATGTAATTTGTTAAATTGTGTCCCATTCCTTGTGTTATTGTTTATTTTCAAAATTCAACCGCAGAGAACTTTCTACAAATGCACTTCATTTACATCTATTTCATGTATAATTTACCTTTTTGCTATTTTACTCAAATGATTATAAATTCTAAAATGAATTTCAAATTTCTCTTCTTTTCAATTTGTCATTTGTATTTTTCCTCTTTTTTTTATTTTTTTTTATTTATTATATTTTTTATTTTTATTATAATTTTTATTTTTATTCTATTATTTACTTACTTTATTTTTAAAATTCCGCTTTCATTATTATTATTATTATTATTTTTATTGTATTATTATTATTGTTTACTTATTTTATTTTTAGAATTCCACTTTTTTATTTTCATTATTTTTATTGTTTTTATTATTTTAACTTTTGGTTTATTATTATTTTGATAGCAATTATTTTTAATATTTTCTATAAATGTCTTGAAATAGTCGAAAAAATGATTGCGAATTTTTTTTTCGTTTACCTACGATTGGACTCGAACCCTTGTCGACAGGGACTTTTTTCTAATGAAATGTCGATTAGTGCACTCGGCCAACAGTGCCTCTTAGATTCACAATTAAAAATTAGTTGAAAACAATATTATAAACTGGAAATTCAAACCTAAAAAGGGAAAATTAAATTAAAATGTAAAGCAGAAGCTACTTATTTGTTATTTTCATTGAAAAAAATAATAATAAATGGAATTAACGAAAAAAAATTAAATAAAAAAGTAAAAAAAAAATTTAACAAGTTACGAATAAAATCAAAAGTGGAAAGAAGTAAAAAATATAATAAGTAAAAAAATATTAGCTAAAAAAATAAAAAGAAATAAAAAATATATTAGGTAAAAAAGTAAAAAGAAGTTTAAAATATAATAAGTAAAAAAGTAAACAGAAGTAAAAAATATAATAAGTAAAAAAAAGAATGTTAAAAATTACAAGAAGTAAGAAAATAAACAGAAGTAAAAAATATAATTAGTAAGAAAATTAAAAAGAAGGAAAAACAGTAACAAATGAAATAAAAATAAAGTTAAAAATAAATGAAAAAAATAAAATTGGTAACACATTAGTTAAAAAAAAATACAAAAAAATAAAAATTGGAACAAATAAAATAAAAAAATAAAAGAAAAATAAAAAATATGAATTAAAAGAAGATTGGTAATCGATAAAAATATATTTATGTATCTATTTTGTATTTTTTATTTTTATTAAACAAAAATTTATTGCATCTATAAAGTGTGACTGTAAACTTTACTCTTGGATACATTTCGTTTTTTTTATATTTCTGTAAAAACTGTCCCGCTTATTTTTGCCTGCAATACATTAAATTTACTCCATCTTCTTCTTTTCTTTACAAAAAAAAAAAAAAAAAAAAAAAAAAAAAAAAAAAATACAAGAGCAGAAGA